GCACAAAGGTTCGCGACAAGGATGGTGGCTAACGCCTGGTGTGGTGGAAGACTCGTCTGCCAGCTGTCAAATTTCTCGAAAGACTTTCAAATCCACTCACGGGGCAAAGCTGAGGCCAAAATGTGACGGGAAAGTCTCGAAAAAGGTTCCGAAAGCGATTTCGAGTCCCAATACACTGTGAAATCCTTTGTGTAATTTTGTGTAATTTTTGTGTAATTTTGTGTAATGCTTTGTGTAATGCTTTGTGTAACTTTGTGTAATTTTGTGTAGACAAAAGCCACACTGTAATGGGGAAGCACCCACTGCGACCTACTGGGGGGGGCCAATTACAATTGAGTTCAATTGTAATATAACGATACACGGCGTGGAATTGGGGGGTCTCAGACCCCCCCCAAAAAACACGAGTGTATTACAATTGAAGTGCAGCTTGCCTGTTAGAAACACGTTGTCGTGACTAAATGACACAGTCACGGTGACAGTGTGAGTACAATGCAACTCCGAGCAAAAACTGAAGGGAAAACCTTCACACAACAAGCGAAAGGTTGGAGCCCGCAGTTAGGACTCCGAGCCCTGATTTCTCGTGCACCGGGTCGGAAATACCCAACTGGTGCATGCCGTGGGTGTTTCCACCAACACCTGGCAAGACTCCTGCCAAGACTCTTGGAAGAGAGTACCCTAACTTGGGCCGAAGGTTCACTTTTTCTGGGGCTGTTGCTCAGTATCAGAGTTTCCAACAGCATGGCGACCGCAGTCCGACGAACTTACTGCTTCTCTTTTGGAGAGAGAGCGCTGGCGGCAGACGGGAACCACTGATAAATCTGGGGCTAACAAGATGTCCCATCCGATGGGCCATCGCCCCCATGCCGGGCCACGGTCACGATTGGCAGTGTCTCCGGCTGGCTCCGAAGTCAACTCCGGACCTGGCACAGCAGCTCCGGAGCCACCCCCACACTGCGATTGCCGGCCCATTGCCATGTTTGTGCTTCATGATCCCCCGCACACAGCCAGCTCCAAGAATTTGGCACGAGCAACGGCATCAGCGACATCATCATGTCAAAACCTTAGGAAGCCCCGGGTTCCAAAACCTCGTTTTAAGATTTCCTCTTGGCAAAAACCCGTTTTCACATTTCTTCTCCGCTTTGGAGGTCTAACATGACTTTTCCAAAAAAAGCCGAAACGAAACCGGCCCTGAAACCGCCTCACTGGCTGGCTCACACTCAACGGCAGTGCGAAAGTGTCAGCCGTACAGTAACATTACAATTCAATTGTATTATACGGTTGGGATGCGCCGATTCCCCGAAAAAAAAGTTCAATTGTATTATACGGTTCAATTGTATTATACGGTTCAATAGTAATTAGCCCGACTCACTGGGGGAGCGTGGGGGGAGGTGAAGTCCTAAATATGACGTTTGAAACTTTTTTTGCCCATTCTATTACTATTTCAAACTTTTATACCATTCTATTACTACCCCCAAACTTTTATACCATTCTATTACTACCCCCAAACTTTTATTCCATTCTATTACTACCCCCAAACTTTTATACCATTCTATTACTACCCCCAAACTTTTATGCCATTCTATTACTACCCCCAAACTTTTATACCATTCTATTACTACCCCCAAACTTTTATACCATTCTATTACTATTGCAACTCTGGAGACTGAATTCACCCATTGCTGGCAGCCCTCGGTACAAAAACAAGTACATGCTTGTCACAAAAGCCTTGTGCGAGTCTGCCTCTATTCGACTTGGAAGTGAAGTTGCCTCATGATGTAAATGTGTCACATTGTGTGGACCATTACGCGGTATCCAAACATGAAGGAGACCGGCTTGTAGTATGGTCAAAACTTGAACCCATTACGGTCCCAAAGCTGAACCCCATTCCCAAACTTTGAACCCATTTTGGTGTCACCCAGTGAGTCGGTCAGTGTTAGGAACAGTCACCAAGTCCAGGGTGCCCGACACTTCTACTGTTTTTCCACTTTCCATCCCCAGCCCCGAGGCCGCGGGCTTTCCAGGGCTGGGTCCCATTGACAGCCTGGGAACCATTCCCGCAGCATGTACTACGTGTTGCCCGTAAACGAAACGTAGCCAAGCTCTGCGAGTTGATGTTGCCGACTCAGTTGACATCCTGGCATTCCTGATGACACCTGTTCTGCGAGAACTCTCAAATGGAATTACCAAAGCCGGAAGGGTTTGTGCTGACTCGCAGGCCCGGGCGGCAGGGTTGTGCAGCAGAGCGCGACTGCGGTGGGCCAAAGAAACTGACCGATGATTTCTAGCGTTATTTGTGGATTTCACAGCGGCCGGCGACCAGTCTGAGTCGTCGGAGTGGCTGAACGGTCGACCAAATCTTCGGTGGAACCCTGGGCCGGGCACAGTCGTAGTGGCTTTTGTTCGGCGATATAGCGTAGACTCCAGAATCCAGCACCGTGCTGCGTGCACGCGTACTGACTCGTATCTGAGCCTGATTAGCGTCAAACTGCGGAACTACAGGATTGGAGTGGGATTCCCACGGAAGCTCCCTCCACAGGGTGGAGTCGGGGCAAAACAGAATGTCGGGGTCGTCGACTCCGCAAACGAGAGACCGAAACCACTTAGACTCCGTGCTGGCAGTTTGAGATTTCGTCTTTGCTTAGAAACTTGCGGCAAAGCAAAAAGGGGCCTCTTTGTTTCGTGCGGTGGGACAACGCTTCAACGTTTTCGGTACTGACGCCAAGTGCTGGGACACCAACCAAATGGTACAAAAATTTGGGGGGGGGATAGAAATAGAATGGTACAAAAGTTTGGGGATAGTAATAGAATGGTATAAAAACTTGGGGATAGTAATAGAATGGTATAAAAGTTTGGGGATAGTAATAGAATGGTATAAAAGTTTGGGGGTAGTAATAGAATGGTATAAAAGTTTGGGGATAGTAATAGAATGGTATAAAAGTTTGCGATAGTATTAGAATGGTATAAAAGTTTGGGGATAGTAATAGAATGGTATAAAAGTTTGCGATAGTAATAGAATGGTATAAAAGTTTGGGGATAGTAATAGAAAGTACTTCGCCTCGCGTGGGGGGGGTGCAACTCAAAAGATTTCTGCTCAAAAAACCGAGAACGAGGCCCAAACCATGGTTTCAACACTTTTTTTTCGCTTTTTTGAGCTTTTTGAGGTGTGAAAACCGAAATTATTTTTCCAGCACCGGAGAGCACCGCCAGCACCGCGGTGCCCGGTGCTGGTGCTCAGCACCGGGCACCGGCCAGCACTGGTTTGGGACCAAGTTTGGTGGGACCCAAGTTTGGGACCCAAGTTTGGGACCCAAGTTGCAGGAGAGAACAGCAGACTTCCTTCGCGCTCTTTGTGCAGTTAGAATTGCTCGTGAGTAGACAAAGTTCGTGAACGGGCAAAAAGGTCTGCAACATGCTCGTGAATGGGCGCATGGTAGCATTTGTTGTGACTGTGTGAGAATGGTAGCATTTGTTGCAACCGTGTGAGAATGGTGTTTACCCCGGGACAATTCCCATTATAGTACACTTCCTTATGTTTGTGCCCATTCTCGAACACTATTTAACTTTTTGCCCATTCTCGAACACTCGCTAACTTTTTGCCCATTCTCGAACACTTTTTAACATTCTCGGTAACTTTGTGCCCATTCTCGAACACTATTTAACTTTTTGCCCATTCTCGAACATTCCAGTTTTTGTGGTGAAAATGTCACTTCCCCGAGACATTTGCCTCAAGTTTCACCGCGAGAACAGCTGCGTTCACTGATTCGAAGACGGTACCCTTGCTAACTTCAGGCCGCAGCCTCTTCGGCATCTAAACTCGGGTTCTTGGTTGCTTCAAGCTTCTACACGTGACGGTGGTGTGCGAGCTAAAAACCCGGCACAGATTTCACTGACTCAGTGACTGAGTTTGCTCGTCTTGCTTGCAAATTGCGCGGCGGCCATTGAGTGACCTTAGTTCACTGACCTACACCAGGAGAAGCAGCTTGCAACTTTGCAGCAAAGTGATTCAAAAAATTTGACCGAAATTTTTTGGCTCAAAATTTTTCGGTCAATTTTTGGGTCAAATTTTTTGGGTCAAAAATTTAGGACAAAAATTTTGGGTCAAAAATTTTGGGTCAAAAAAGTTAGGACAAATTTTTTGGGTCAAATTTTTTGGTCAAAAATTCGGGGTCCAATTTTTTTGGTCAATTTTTTTTCAGAGTTGAAGTGGCGGTTACACTTGGCACATGGCTGCATGATGGCAGGAGAAATGGCTCCTGCCATGCGCCCTGGCGGCTCGCCGGCAATTCCAGTCTCTCTCTCAGCCTGCCAGCCTGCGGCAGGGAGGACAAGATCCAGTCACCATCCGCCAGCTCCTGATTATTTTCAGACGACTGGCACTTTTTCTTTGCAGCTTCTACTGTAAGAGTAGCATCACTCAAATCTTGATTGGCTGCGGCGTTACTTACCGCTCTGAGTCTCTCCCGCTCCTCCTCTGGAGTCATTCGTGACGTCGCGCCCGTCGCTGGTTACTACTCGTGGTAAAACGTAAAACAGTGGCTCTGATTCTGAAGAGGTTTCGGCACAGAATTAGGAAGCGCTACAAGTAGAACGGGCTGGTCACTCGCGCATACCTGAATTATGCACGAATCTGTGTTTAGAAAACCGTTTACCCGTAGTCTGCGGTGTCAATGACCCAGTGCGCAACCAGGATACCGAGCCGGGACGCAGCAGCCAACCACAATGCTGGCACCTTGTTCGAGGAACGGATCCGACGGAAATCGGAATCGGACATGGCGAACCCAAAAATGGCTGGGACTTTTTGGATGTATGGGTGGTGAGTTCGAATCCCACCCTGGGCAAATTTCAATGTTCGAGAATGGGCAAAAAGTTAGGCGACTGTTCGAGAATGGGCAAAAAGTTAAAAAGTGTTCGAGAATGGGCAAAAAGTTAGCGAGTGTTCGAGAATGGGCAAAAAGTTAAATTGCGCCGTTTACCCCACAGCCCTTGTAGTCGGGAAAAAGTACTCGTGGCGGGGCTCGAACCCGCAACCTCCGGCTCCGGAAACCGACGCGCTTCCATTGCGCCACACGAGCCATAGTTTTTTGAAAAAAAAAGTTTTTTGCAACAAAAAAAAAATTGCACGATGTCGTTGTTCTGCCGAGCCCCGAGGATCAGCTGCCCGTCCCCGCAGGGGTACGAGGCCAAACTTTACACCCGAACTTAGCTTCGCCCGGACTTTGTTTCGCCCGAACTTAGCTTCACCCGAGCTTTGCTTCGCCCGAACTTTGCTTCACCTAACTTTGCTCACCCGAACTTAGCTTCGCCCGAACTTTGTTTCGCCCGAACTTAGCTTCACCAGAACTTTGCTTCACCCGAACTTAGCTTCGCCCGAACTTTGCTTCACCAGAACTTAGCTTCGCCCGAACTTTGCTTCACCCGAACTTAGCTTCGCCGAACTCTTGTTTTCGCCCGATCTTAGCTTCACCAGAACGTCCGAACTTTGCTTCACCAGAACTTAGCTTCGCCCGGCTTTGTTTCGCCCGAACGTAGCTTCACCTTCGCCCGAACTTTGCTTCACCAGAACTTTGCTCACCCGAACTTAGCTTCGCCCAACTTTGCTTCACCAGAACTTAGCTTCGCCCGAACTTTCGCTTCACCAGACTTAGCTTCGCCCGAACTTTGCTTCACCCGAACTAGCTTCGCCAACTTTGTTTCGCCCGATCTTAGCTTCACCAGAACGTCCGAACTTTGCTTCACCCAGAACTTAGCTTCGCCCGGACTTTGTTTCGCCCGAACTTAGCTTCACCTTCGCCCGAACTTTGCTTCACCAGAACTTTGCTCACCCGAACTTAGCTTCGCCCGAACTTTGTTTCGCCCGAACTTAGCTTCACCCGAACTTTGCTTCACCAGCACTTAGCATTGCCCGAACTTAGCTTCGCCCGAACTTTGCTGTTCCCCGAACTTTTACTAGTAACTGCTGCCTCCAGTCTCGCCACGTGCCGGCCTTAGCCGAGCGCACGTACTACCATTCTATTACTATCCCCAAACTTTTGTACCATTTGGTGGGCCAAAACCCATTACAGTATGTTATCCAAACTTTGAACCCATTACGGTACATGATCCAAACTTTGAACCCATTACGGTATGGTCCCAAACTTTGAACCCATTACGGTATGGTTTTCCAAACTTTGAACGAATTACGGTAGGTTCCAAACTTTGAAACCCATTACGGTATGGTTTTCAATCTTTGAACCCATTACGGTATGGTTTTCAAACTTTGAACGAATTCCGGCAAGTGTAAAATTTGAGCCCAATTTAGGTACCATTGTCAGTCGAAGTCTGTAAGTTGTTAACAACGCATGTAATTGGGCGACAAATTCATCTTCTGTGCCAGTGTGGGGGCTGGCACCACAGCACCGGTGCTGGCACCGGAGAGCAGTGAGGTTTAGCTACAAAAAGCTATAGCTAGCTACAGCGTAGCTTTTTGTAGCCTTTTGTAGCCTTTTGTAGCTCTTTTTTTCGAGACTGGAGGTCCGATGAACATGCAATGTGAATAGCCTCTATTCGAGCCAACCCGGCTTTTCTTCATGAAAAAAGTGTATTGTTTTTGGAAAGAGCCGGGCAAGCTTTTTTTTTTCCTCGTAGGGGTACACCTGGCTGAGTCGGTAGGACGAGGGACCAAATTACCTCTATGAGGTGAACAACGACGGTTCGAATCCCACCAGAGAGACTTTCCAGGCGTTCGGGGATAAGCTCCCGGAAGCAAGCCCTAGCTTCGATTCCTTGGAGGTAGGACCAAACAAACAACGGAGTAAACAGCGGGTACAATGAACCCCTGTACTACCTGCAGGATTAGGCCGTCTAGCCTCGCCTAGGCTGCAGTAAAA